ACCCAGATGATGATTAATTAGTGACAGAATCTCTTTTATTGTACAGCGGAATTTATCCGAGTGTAATAAATTCCACCAGTAATTATTGAGGACATTATTATTAAATTTTTATGTTTGTACAAAACGCACTTTGATAGAGAAAAAAGTTCAATCAAAAATGCATTAGTGTACATACGATATGACCGGGCGTTAATTGCTTTTTTTCAAACGGATATTGTAGTGATTAATTAATTTTTCATGGTAATTGCGCCGGTGTGTATACGTTCCGGGGTATATGATTAATTTAGCTAATGAACGAAATCGTGCCGAACTCGTCACGAAAATGATTTGTTTATTAACCCATTAGCATCTATGGGTGTCTGGGTAAAAAACCCCAGTTTTCCGATAGTCGGAACGAAACGGAAAACCCCATCGAGTTTTCCGTTCGCTCCCCCTAATCCGATCGTGTATACCTCCAAAATGAAAACCGATACCGTGGAAGAAAAAACGCATCGCCGCATGATAAATGTTTCACGCGAAAATAGGGAAAAACGTAAAAATCAGAATAGGCAATTCGGCGAGGTCTTAAGTAGCCATATTTTCCGGTATCCCTGTATATGCATGAGTTATGGGGGTAGTAGCCACGTAACGGCTATATTTTATTTGTTATCGGAATGTAGTTCGTGACGCTTTTCCCAAATGTCTGTTTGCGGTTTTCATCGAATTAAATGTATTTTACATTTAAATATTTACAATATCGATAACAAACGCTACATATTTATTTATCAGGCCTTTTTCTTGTTGATGGAAGGTTCGTGCATGGTTCGAAAAATTGCTGGAAATATTTTTTATCTATACCAGATTACGTGTTTATTTTCTTATTTAAATTACCCACATATAAGAAGAGCTCAAGAAAGATAAAAATTGTACTCAGGTTTGTGCAAAGTCGTACAACTGAAGAGTAGACTCCCTTACCTCGATGATCTACAAATCACCTTCCCTTATTAAACAATTCATCTATTTCTTAATTGAACGGGGTAGGCGCTTCGAAAGCGTCAGTAAACCGGCTTGAAATATTACAGTACATATTTTAATTTGCGCCTTAACAACTGGAATATTATAGATTAACGTTGTTGGCTCGACGTGAAGCGGGCGCGGGCATACATACGAAAATTAATTCTTAAGAATTATTGCGGCCTCTTTCTCAAAGAACTTCATTAATTTCGCGAGTATGTTCGGATGGTTTCGCCGTTATTTTGCGAAACGATGCGGCTTTTCGGATGATTAGTGATGTATAAACGAGGCGCTGGATGATTATACGAAAAGGTATAGGGGCTATTAATCCGGAGCGGAAAGCGCAAACAGCGCGCTAATTGTTCGTTTTCGTTAATAGACGAATGAACAATTAGCGGCGGATTTTTCTTTTCGCTGCCGAAAACCCTCGAATATTTTATTACCTTCTCGGGAATTCATTTCGCTTCTGCTTCACGCACGTGTATCGATGGCAATAAAAGGAAAAAGTTAAATGGAGTTTATTGGAGTTTTCATTACTTACAAGGAGTTTTACTTTCGAACGGGGAGGGATGAAGTATCGACTTATTGATGTTATTTTTTTCTTCTTTTTGTTTAATATACCAGCACATTTTTTTCGTAATTTATGGCTACAATTTTTAAATTAAAAATGAGTAGATACGTGAACCGATAAACTTCATTTTCATTTAGAAAATCCACTATGCCGCAAATATTATTATATCCAATGAAGGCATTGATGTTTTAATAAAATCGAGGTCGGGCGGAGAAAATCAAATTAAAAATCGAATACAAATTCCTGCAAATTAAACGGCTCCGAATTAAAACCGAGCAATAACAATTACCCCTCAGTACGCCAATGTACGGCTCCCAGGGCGCTCGTAGCGGCTTTTCCAGTTTTCTCTACGCTTTTCCGATGCGCTCGCGAAATTAAAAACACAAATTTACTCGCGGTGGTTGTCGATTTTTTTTGAAATACAATTCTACACTCAACGGGTAAACAAAAACTTTAATATCAGTAGATGTAAAATGCGGTTTGTAAAATTTTAACTCCCACTAATTGTCTTTTATAATTTACAAGAGTTGATTAATTTTCGGTTAAGACTGTAATCGATACTCGACATGTGTATGCAAATTATGTGGGTATTGAACTCGCACAACTTTTAATTAGATTTGAATTGAGCGCTTGCAATTTGAGCAAATGTATTAGTTCTCTAGAAGTATAATTAAGCTTCAATTTCGATGTATTATGACCTATAATATTCGATAGTTCAATGGCATTAAAGCATTATTAGTGTTAACAAATCCAATGTTTACATGCTTGATTATTAATCTCTATAAATCTATAAAGAGAAATTCTTCTTTTTGGTGGAAATTTTCAGCATGAAAGAGTTAAATGGGTATAAATAGGCTTCAAATATTTTCGTTAAAAAATCTACATAAATTATAAAATGCTTATCTCAGAGATACAGCAATATTTTGCACCCAATTTCCTACTGCAATCGACTTTATTAGAATTCCATTTTCAATTCATAAGCTACGCAAATGTAGATAAATATCAATTTTCTTTAAAAAAAAAGTTAATTAAACCGCCGTATCGCTTTCTCCTGGCGATTTTTAAATTAATTCAAGAAAATTCCTCATCGCTGAATAAAACTAAGGCACACTGGGGCGTCGGGGCGCCAGTTTCCTTGTTTAATTTCGTTGCTAATACAACAAACCTTCACCACAAATAAACAGACACCTTGTATATTTATCTGCAACAGTGTTATGTATTTTATTTAAATGATTCGCACATGGTCTTACAGTTTATTAACACGTACAAAAACCACAACATGTTTAAGTCATAATGGAATGCATTAAGGACACCCCATAGATAACCGAATTCGACCGGTACAAAGAGCGATTTTTGCAAATATTAGCCCTGTCAGGGGCGAGCGTTCGTCAAAATTTAAACAAATATGGATCGCGCCGCGTACCACGGTCATATATCAAAACTTAAAGCGGTTTCTGCCACGGTATCACAAATAGAATGGTTAAACATAAAATACAAACTCGATGATAGCGCCCGGTGAAAAACGAAAACAATGCGACCCGCTTCGAACGGCGCTCTAAAACGAATGTACAAACGCTGAAAATTGTACTACAAGTTTATTAACTAATAAATTAGAGCTGGAAAAAGCTGTCACCGAGACATCGCGGACAAAATCTGTTTGTTTTTTTGAGTTTATAGCAAGTTTGTGGCCAATTATAAATAATTTCCTTCATAAGATAATAATTTCGTTGATTGTTATGGATCGAATCTTCTTCCATCGACGAAGTGTTTGCTTCGCAGAGGCCACAGCAAACGCAATAATTGGCCGTGTATACACGTAATTATCAATCATGAATACGGTTGTAATGGGATTGGTTACTCAGATTATAAACAGCGTTACTATAGATAATTAATTGGACCGGTTGTGTGCATCTACGGACGTCCGTGCGCCAGATTATGGGCCTTTTGTCTCCTAATATATCAGCGACGGAATCAAAGGTAGGCACCGGCGCGGCGTCGCCACCAAACCATTACATTTACTACACACCGACGTTTATCTTTAGATAAATAGATCTTCTATCGCGCAAACGGTTCATAAATTTGGCTAATTTGATGAATGTTTTAGATCCTTGTTCAATTCCGTTCGCTTGTCGTACAGTTGTACTTAAAAAAAGGGTACAAGTAATAGAAAGAGACATTAACGTCATCTTATTTGTGTAAAACCGGCTGGGATTATTGAAGCTTGTCAAATGTCAAAAGTTGTCAAAAATGTAAATAATTTAAGATTTCCATTTTTTTCAACATATGACATTTGAAGCTAAAATAATTCTAGCCGGTTTTACGCAAATAGGTTGACGTTAATGTCTCTTTCTATTACTTGTACCTTTTTTTTAATACAACTGAACTACTGCACTGGTTTAATTTAAAAAAATATCATTTTTCTTTAGAACAAATTCAAGAGTATTTGGAACTATCCGGATCTATTTTGAACTTCTTTTAGAAGACTATACAGGGTTTTCTCGAACTTATGGCACTAAATTCTCTTGAATTTTTAGAATCATGAATAAATTATAAAAGTAAACCGGGGTTTTGAAACAATAGAAGAAAATAAACTTTAAACTCGAAAGGAATATTAGCTCACCTATTTTGTTGTTGAAGACTGCTTAATTATTAATTTCAGAACAGCACTATAACGAACAAGATTTAAGTCAACTAAGAACACTAAGAATCAATCACACAAGTCTAATCATAAAAATCTATTTAAACCCGACGTTATTAACAAAACAATACGCACTATTCGCACTAGAAAACGATCGGTATCGATAACGATTTTCGAAAGCCGGAGGGCGGAGGGGGAAATTCGCGCTCGCTGATAAGCACACCGGATTTGTTTTTTTGAGTTAAAATTCCGATCAGCTGACTATTCAGGCCAGGGTTGTACTCGCTCTTTGCCTTTATTTATAATGGCTCTATTTTATTATTATTTTCTTTTAGAAATACGAAAATCAAAAATCGGTCTCAAATTGTGCAAACTACCACCCCTAGAATTTAGTACCATAAGTTCGAGAACACCCTGTATAGAATATTTTAACTGAAAAAATAATCTAAAATCATTTTTCTCACATCCACATCATCAATTATCCAGTTTCACACGTACATTCGCACGTACCCTTTATTATCGCCGTATTTTATGCAAGTTTGAGCGACTCATTCTAATTTAATTCGGTAAACAACGAAGCTGCATTCGTATAAATAAACACCTTAATAGCCCCTACCCAGAGAGATTGATATATCGTTAGGAAGACGCAACTTCGGCTGAACAACTCGCATAAATCACGTTCCACCTACGAGGCAACTTTGACGATTCGAATGCCACTTTCGCGGATATTAATTACGGGGAATCCTGTACGAGCACAGGTGAATGGGGGCCGGGGATATAAAGCTTCTGTTAGAATAGATTTATTTAAATCGTGCGAATATAACTACGGGGAATTAACTTAGTGTTCTTCCGGTTGTTTCTCCGGTTTATTGGTTTCTGTGGGTATGGCGCCGATTTCTTTCAGTAGCTTCTTCTTCTCGTCGAAATAGTTCTTGTACCACATGATGTGCTCGATTTTGGCGTCTACTGTTATGTAGGGGTTCTTGGAAAGACCCACGCAAACTAGTTCCATGTAGTGTCTGATGGGTCCTCTCTGCGGACACCAGGGCTCCAGGTGCTCTTCCAGGAAAATGTGTTTGGAGAAATCGACCTTCTTTTCGTCTTCTAGACCTAAATAATTCCAATTAATTAACGATGTAAAATATTTTTGCGGCATTTAATTACCCTGTTCGTTATCGATAGGAAACTTCCACAATTTCCCTTGTTCCGTCCACAGGATCATCTCTTGGAAATAATTAGCCGGAGGATGGGTAACGGCCAATTTCAATTCGTTTTGATACAACTTTTGCCACGTATCTAAACGCTTGTCTTTTAAATCCTTATTGGTGAATATCCCCAAAGGCGCGGAACTTAACAGGTCCACTTTCATTATAGATCTATAAATAAATAAAATAATTGGGATTTAGTTGATAATTTAATAAGTAGCGAACACATACGCTTGATCTCTCAGTATTGGCTGTCTAGGCCTGCTTCTTTGAGGCGACACCCTAGTTTGATTGGGTTTCTGAGTAGATTTAATATTCTGCAACATATTTCTGATCTGTTCTGCTTTCGACCTTTCAGTAGGTTTCGTCTCCCTTTCGATTCTCATGCCTTGAACGATCTCGCTGAAAACAACACATTATTATACAATTATTAGAATTGTTTGCAAATGTACTTGAGGCTTTTTAAAGGTTCCGTGTCCTGGACGGGACTGAGTAATTTGGAGAGTAATTCGGACTCAGTTTGCTTGACATCTCCACCAATATCTTGGGCTACATCATTTACGGCTTTGACCAGTTTCTTTTCTGAAAATATTAATTACTTGTAATGGAGGAGAGCAATGTTTGGAAATAACCTACCGACACTCTCGATTTTCCTCGATTCTCGCTGTTCTTTGGGAACCCGTTTGTCCTTCGGTCTGGCCAATTTTAAAGCGGAAGGTTGGGCGACTTTGTCATTCTGAATATAATTTTATTAGTGTTTCGGAAGTCTATATAATGAGGATAAACTAACCTGGACAAGTTGTTGTAAGAGACTGTTTAATTTTGAAATGGTCTCTTCATTTTTGCTTACTGGTGTTGGTTTTTTAGTTTGAATGTCATCATCACTGTCAGAACTACTGCTGCTGCTGCTGCTGCTGTCGTTATTGGAGCGATTTGTGCTTTTGCTTAAGACAACGCATTTTTGAATGGATATTGGACTTAAAATTGCTTGTTTTGGATAGAACGAACATCTGAAAAAAACACGTGTGGGAATGTGCAATTATTATTTAGATTAACTTACCTCCAAATTATATTCAATTTATTTAAATTCATTTCTATTAATATTATTTTCACATTTATTTAAGGTTAGAATATATATGTCAAATTCTTCTTTTTTGTGTTCACAAACTTATGAACGAAAGGGCCCTTTATTATTTCATTATTTAACTATTCATATGTCAAAAATGCCAAAAACTGTCAGCTGTCAATTCCGTCAATGTCACAGCACGTCATGTTTGTCAAATAATACAGTAAAATATAAAACTGATAATTAATCTAAATATTTGTTAATAATTTAGTTTCTTATCTAAATAAAAACTAAAAACATATAAATAGATTGTCAAACCACTGTTTTTTTAGTGATGGAATTGATCAAAACCCCAAAGGTGAGTATTAGCAATAACATACAAACTTTATGAACCTAGTAAAATAAATTGTTTATTGTTTAATAATAACGCATAAAAATATTTTAATAGTATTATTACAACAAATAAAGGCAAAAATCACTTATTTACAATTACACGATAAAATTTTATTGCCATTCGTAGACTATAAACTATATTGTATTGATTTATCTTTATATTAATGGTACTAATGTATTCTGTTTACATAGGTAGAAAATGTTCGAATGTTAGACAGATATTCAAAAATCCCATCCCAAGGAACTTTATACCTAACCACCACCCATCTAATTTTCAACGAGCCCGAAGCCAAAAAGGAAACATGGGTTAGTATCACCATTAATTCAACTAACCCATATATTCATTATTCTCATCCAACGGCAGATACCCCACATGCACGTTTCAACCCTGGAAAAGCTACCGCTCTCTACCACCGGATCCCCTTTGCTCATTCGAACAAAGACCTTCCTCTCGGTCACGTTCGTAATCCCCCGGGAAAGGGACTGTCACGACGTCTACGTGAGCTTACAGCAGCTATCGCAGCCTCCGAACCTCGAGGATTTGTACTGCTTCTCTTACACGCCTCCCGTCGAAGAGATCCGCCGGTTCGTCGGCTGGAGCTTCCACGATCTACAAGAGGAGTACCGACGCATGGACGTTCCCAACGCCGAATGGTCTCTGACGAATTTAAACGTCGACTATCAAGTGAGCAACAAGACGATCAAATAAGCATTTTAAATATATTTTACGTATTATTAGTTGTGCGATACTTACCCTCGAGTACTGTTTGTACCGAGCTCGGCTAGCGACAGAGTCCTCTTGGGCAGTTCGAGGTTCCGTTCGAAAGGCAGGCTGCCGGTGTTGTCGTACCTGCACAAGAACAAGGCCAGCATATGCAGATGCAGCCAACCTTTGTCCGGATTCAGCGCCAGGTGTTTGGAGGACGAGCAAATGCTGACGGCCGTATTGGATACCAATCCCAACGGCGGGTACATGTGTGTAGTGGATACCAGACCGAAGGTGAGTACGAGAATTGTACTAATGAGATGATTTAAAAGATTGGTTTTAGATTAACGCGATGGCCAATAGAGCGGCGGGTAAAGGTTACGAAAACGAAGCGTTCTACGATAACATAAAGTTCCATTTTCTTGGTATCGAAAACATCCACGTGATGAGAAGCAGTCTCGCGAAAGTTGTCGAAAGTGAGTGTATATATTAATATACTCGATTAATCGAGCAAATTGTTATTTTTTTGATTGTTATTGCAGCTTGTGATCAAAGAAACCCGACGATGTCGAGCTTCCTGAGCGGCCTCGAATCGAGCGGGTGGCTCAAACACATCAAATCCATCCTCGATACGGCCCTGTTCATCTCCGAAACCGTCACGAGGGGCGTCAGCGTGGTGGTTCATTGCTCGGACGGTTGGGACAGGACGGCTCAAGTTTGTTCACTGGCCTCGATTCTCTTGGATCCGTTTTATAGGACTATATCCGGTTATCAGGTAGAAGATTAATCGAACTTTCTAACGCTAGTCAACCGTTAGAGTCTCTTTAATTCGACAGTTTTTTAACTGACTTATCTGAGGTGTTTTTATCGTTGTTTTTTAGGCTATGATAGAAAAGGACTGGCTGGCGTTCGGGCACAAATTCTCCGAGCGGTGCGGCCACGCCCGGCCCGATCCCAAAGAGATATCGCCGATATTCACGCAGCTTTTGGACGCCACGTGGCAATTGCAACGGCAATTTCCCGCCGCTTTTCAATTCAACGAGGCGTTTTTGTACGCCTTGCACGATCACGTGCACTCGTGCCAGTTCGGAACGTTCATCGGCAATTGCGAGAAAGACAGAAGGGAATTGAGGTGAGACCTGTACCCTTAGATCATATATACTAACGTGGATAAGTCGACAGGGGTAAATTCTGTTGCCAACATATTCACGAGGTACTTTTATGACCCGTCCTTGTTTGACACTCGCTAGTTTCTAACGGTGTGTCTTTGTCGTGGAGCCTTTGACAATTTTGACGTATATAGTTAGCGCCAAATTTAAATATTCATGCTTAAAAACTATTTTAAGATGGTTGTTGTTTACCTCACTGTTATGTATAAACCGCAAACACTAAACACAAACCAATCCAATAATCAAAAATCTAAATATAATAATAATACGACACCATGACAGTTATGAGGGAGATGTCAAATGTCATAGTGTCAATGCCAGTGCCAGAAAAGGACGCATCAACATTGCCAAATGTCTAATAGCTATTTCTTATTTCTACTTTTCTTTCACTACAAATAAGTAATCGAGCAGCTGTTTTATACAATAATTAGTTAATTAAAATGTATACGCATTTAAATAGTATTACTGCATTTCAAAACAATTATTTTAGATAGTAAATAAAAATATTTTTATCGTACATCGTACATATTAAAAGAGTGAAAAATTAGAACAAATGTGTGAATCTGGCAACAAGGGTGAGTTTCCTAATGTATCTGTTATATACTAATAAATACGTTCAGATTTTTAAAGCGCATGCTCAATTGGCAGACCAAAACAAAGATAAATCTATGCTGAATTCCATAGAGCAAAAAAAGAGAGTATAATTTAGGCATGTTGTAGATGTTGGCAACAGGAATGCAAATGTAATTCTTATGGCATTATTGCATCCACTTTAGTATATATGATCTAGCCTGTACCTGACGATTTGCGAACGAATGCTAATTTATTGTACAGATTGTCGGAGAGGACGTACTCGTTGTGGGGCTACATGGCGAATCACCTGAACGAGTACATCAATCCTTTGTATGGGTCGTCGGATGATGAGGTTCCCGAAGTGCTGGTACCCAATTTGCTACCGCAAAATATCAAGTAAGCGAATACTATCCAATCTAGCCGAAAAAGGCGAATTGAGGCCGTAAAAAAAAACAGGCTATTCAATCAGTGAATATCTCCAACAATATTGTATAGTTATAGTGATACTCGTTGTAGATTCTGGAGGAGCATGTACTGCAGATTCGAGAGCGGCGTCCATCCGAGAGAACCCCAAGCGGATCTGTTGTTAGTTACATCCGATTACGCGTTTTCCCTCGACGAGCACGTCAAATACCTGACGAAGGTACCGATCCAAACGAACGTTATTAACAATCGTACTATAATTAATGTATTTTTTTTAAGCGACTTTCTTCGGTCAAATCGTTGATAGCCAGATCGGTGGAGCGCAAGGGTAGCAAACAGACGAAGCGCGAGGAGCGTTGCCGGCCGTTGGACAACGCCTACGCGGACAACAAGTCGTCGTACGAGCGTAAGCCGAGCAAGGACGAGCAATCGCCGGCGAATCGAAACGACGATGCGCTCGATTTGGATCGAGTGGTGAAGGAAATCGATTCGGTGGCGATCGATTGGAAATCGTTGAGGAACGCGGACGAGTGCAGTTGCTCGTTGGCGTTGGACCAGCTCAGTAAGAAGGTAATAATAAATTATTTAAAAAATTAGGCGATTATTGTAATTGTTTTATCGTTGTTTGTAGATGCATTGCAGAAAATGCGGCGAGATATTCTGTCAGCGTTGCATATCGAAGAAGGTCGCTCTGCCGGGTCACGATTCTCGCGTGCCCGTGCCGGTGTGTAAACCTTGTTTCGATAGCGTCGCGACGTCGACGTCGGCGACTTAGTGCGTCGTCTGTATGTAGCGAGGTATTTAACAACATCACCCTGTATTATTTTTTATGCGATGAATCGACGATGACAAGTCCTGAATATTTAATATTCGCTTGGTAGGTTTTTTTTGTAGAACTTGACGTCTTCCTTTAGATATCTATTTATTCATCCTGATCAATTTTGTTACGAGATGAGTTTAATTCTTTTTTGTAATTTATCGTGATGAATTTATCGTGAATTTATTGTTCTACACAAGTTTATATGAGATTTATTATTTCGTTAATTTAACGCAGAAACTATTAAGTGTAAACAGCTAGCTATATGCACAAAATATTTTATTTTTTTTAAATTAGACGAATATGTCGAAATTTAAGCTACTGTTGAGAGAGTTTGTTTTTTTTTATTTTGCACTGTGATGTTTTTTCTATTATATGTATATTAGTTGTATTTTTTATGGTATCGGTTTTTAAAGCTTGACAATTTTCGTTTATGACGCGAGAATTGTCCGTTATAAGTACAAATGTTTACTGTAAAACGTTGTAAAATAAAATATGAATTTACTAAAATCATTTGACGTCCCATTGAACACAATAAAACAACGGTAATAGTTAGTTTTTCTTTATAAAATAAATTTTAGAGTCTTTAGTAAAAGAGGTATTTACATAGAAATATCGGTATCGATATTATCGTTTCGACAATTTACAAATAAAATTACAAAAAAAATATGGCAAGAACATTACAATATCTCGATCCCTTGATACAAGGTTTAATAATTCAATTTAATCGAACAGTTTATTTTTACATTATTTCTATCAATTGCACTCGTATACACACACAAACACACTCGCGCACAATCACACGTATTCCTCGGACGGTTTGGAAGCGTTCGTTAATCGCAACGACGACGGTATCCTACCGTTAACGGCGTCCGGTAATTCGGCTATATCTTTAAACACGCCCGCCAAGCTATCGAAATTCTGGCCCCAGTTCAACAGGTAATCCCATCCCAAGGCCGTGGTGGACGGCGAGCCGGCGCTCTGCCTGTACATCGGCCCGCCGATTTCATCGTCCGAAGCCACCAGCGTGCTCATGGAGCCCCGATACGACGAATCGAACCCGTCGTACGACGGCGGCGGTATGTTGTTCTTGTTCCCGCCGCCCGACTCGTTCCGCCTCGACTCCGACTCGTTCGGCTTGTACTTGTCCCCGTTCAAGCTGGCGTTGTCGTACTCGATCTCGGAGCACGTGAAGCTGTCGTTGCCGCTCTCGTCGGTGGTGGTGCTGCTGTGGTGCGTCTCCGGCACCGGCGAGTGCCGCAGGTGGTTCATGTGCACGTTGCCGACGCCGCGCGGCGCCTCGCTCGAGCTCGACACCGCGTCGAGCGTCGACACCAGGCTGGACGTCCGCGGACGCGAGTTCAGTCTTTCGATCTCCTCGGCGGTGAGGCCCATGCCGGGCGACGATGAGGCGACGGGCGGCGGCGCCGCCGCCTTCCTGCTGCTCGAGCTCTGGCCGCTCAGCTGCGACATCACCGGGCTGTTGAGGCTGCCCTCGCTGTTGCTGTGCAGGGCGTCCTTGCCGACGCCGCCGGAGCTCGACGTGGTGGCCAGCAGGGCGCTTTGCAGCGGCTTGCCGCTGATGTCGTGCAACGTCAGTATCCTGGGTTGTTGGGCGCTCATCTCGCTGCTGGGGCTCAGTCTGGCCAGCGGCGTGCTTTGGTGGGGTCGCGCGTTCGGACTAGTAACGGGCGGTACTCTCGGAGGGAACCCGGAGTGCCGTTGGTTTTGGCTGCCGGGATGCTTGTGGTGGTACCCAGCGACGGGCAGCGGCGTCGCTTTGTATTTTCTCACCCCTCCGGCTTCCCTGTAGCCTTTGTAATGGTACACGATGTCTATATCCGACGGTGCTATCGAGCTGGCGTTCTCTAAATCGTAGTGTTCGGGAATTTCGGAGTTTAAATCGTTGGGAACGTGCTCGTGGCTGTGATTCGAATTCGGAGGTAAAGGAGGATGGTGTTCGTCTCTAATCGGCGGACCTTTATTGATCACCTCTCGTTCGATAATGTCGGGTCGTTGAGGTCGCGGCAAATCGCCTTGAAGGATGTCCCTCTCCTTGTATTTCTTGGACAAAAGTTCCGGCCCCACCAAAGAATGTCCTCCAATGCCCCTTATCACATCTCCATCAGTGTGGTAAGACAAGGCGCTGTCCGTTCCGTGCATCACCCTGCTCAAAACGTTGTCGTTGTTCGAGTTGATGCCGCTGGAACCCAACATGGCCCCGTTGCCGTTCTGCTTCGTTTGTATCCCGCCCGGACTGTTCGAGGCGCTGCCCTTCTCCTTGTACTGCTTGCGCAGCCTGAACGCCACGAACGATACTAATATGGCGACGAGCAGCACCACGAAGAAGACGATGACGAGCGTGATGCCGATGCTGAGCGGATCCGGCGCGGTCGCCGTACCGATGCCGATGGGCCCCTTGCAGTCTCGCGTGACTCTGCCGCGGTAGCGCACCTCGGGGAATATCGATCCGGAGCCGTTGAACGGCTGGATTTCGTCGTTGATGGTGAAATTGGCGAAGCAACCTTCGAATTGTTTGGGCGTCGAATGGTAATATTCGGCGGACGCGCCTCCGATCGAGAGATACGTCAAGTAAGGATCGAGGAAGTCGTGAACACCGGCCGTATCTAATTCATCGCCGAATTTTTCGTTATCCAATATTATCCTTATGCTTCGTCCGAAGGTGTATAGAGTTAAATTATGCCAATTACCGTCGTTCACTAGGCGTGTATCAGTCATGTTAACCAAAGAAGACAGTTTGCTTATGTAGTATATCTGCCCGTCGATTAACTCAATCGAAGTATAGTATTTATTGCTGGTAGCGTGAAGAATTATACCGTGCTGTTGGACCGTTCGGAACAAGACGCTCACGCTTTTCCCCGCGCCCGTACCGCCCGCGGCTTGTTTCTGGTGGCTCCACACCGTGGAGCCTTTGTAGATGTTGTCCAACAGTTGCATCCTTCGGTGTTTCTTCGACACGGTGAATTCGACGAAGCCGCCATCGCTGACGCTGATGGGCTGCAGGCCGGAGTGGCAATTCGGCGAAATCAAATCGCCGCCGCACCGGCAACTGATGGAGTCCCAATGGTCGATGCACGAACCGAATCCCAAGCACGGGTCCGCCGACGGTTTCTGGCAGGAGCCCTTCTGGACGCATTTGTTCTCGATGCCTTCGGAGGAGAGGGGTCGGCTCAGGTTCAACTGGCGGCCGTTGATGGAAACGCTGTGAACGCATCCCACTAAATCGTCGGAGTGGACTTGGCCCGGTCGTTCCAGCACCGGATCCGCGCTGATCAATCCGCCGATTAGGAGCGGTTGGTTGTTGAAGTTTAACGTTCTGAAACAAGATGAAGAGTTCGATATAAAATGAGCTTTATTTGCGAGGAAAGAAAGTATGACAACTCACCCGCTAGGACCGATTTCATCAGCGTAACAGGTGCTATCGCCTGGTCGGCATTCATCGCAGACGTCTCCTTGTTCGGTGCAACTACCGACGCTCAACGAAACGACTCGACCGTTTCTGGTCGCTGTTATTTTGTACCAATTACCGTCTGCTAGGTTATTGGTTTTTCCTCCCACGCTTACTGACGTGATGGCCGTTCTGGTACCGCCGAAAGAGAAAACTGCTTTACCGCCGACCAGTTCCACGGCGACGAAATCGCTCCTGCCGCCCGTTTGTAATCCATAATTGTATATCAGAAGCGAGTTCGGTTTCGTTGTGGCGAACACGAACGATATGTCGTTGGTAGCAGCGTCCAAAGACGGGAAGCTCATGTAGGACAGCTCCTGGAACCCGTAGGTGGATTTCTCGCAATGTCTGCCGTACCGTCCGTCCACGCAGCTGCACTTGTAGCCCGGCTTTTGGTTCATGCACAGGCCGCCGTACAGGCAGGGATTGGGCCGGCAGGAATCGGCCACCACTTCGCATTGGTTGCCCTTGTAGCCTGACCTGCAGAGGCAGAAGAACGACGAGCCGTCGGGACTCTCCCTGCAGGAGCCGCCGTTTTGGCAGGGGTTGTCGAAGCAGGCGTCGTCCTTCTGCGACTCGCATTGCCTGCCGTCTTTGCCGGGCGGGCATATGCAGTGGTAATTGAAGCCCTGCCTTCGGCATTGCCCGCCGTACTTGCAGGGATTCGGCAGGCAGGGGTCCTGGCGTTTGTTGCAGGTGGATCCGACGAACCCGTCGGCGCATTGGCACTTGTACTCGTGAACCACCAACGGTGATGTTAGGATGATGTTTTGACTGTCGGTTATGATCGTGGTCTTTTTAACCGAAAGAGATTCCAAGCATATGCCTCCGTTTTCGCAGGTGTTTTGACCGCAAGGCGAGTATCCTATTACGATATCTCTGCTTTGGAAAATGTTCGATAGAGCCTCTCGTTTGCTTTGAATTTTGGTGATGGTCTGTAGCTTACTCTTGTAGCCGTTTTTAAATTTGATCGCCAACGTTACTTCGAGATTACCTTCGTGGTCGCGTAAACTGTAAATAATTAAATTCTCATCGGCGTTTATAACGGTTTTTAAAGCATCGGACAACCTCCTGTAGTACTGGGAAAGAAAAGCTTCAGCTGTAATATTCGAGATTCTAATTGTAATCGAATTATCTACTGTCGTATTATCAAAAGACAGAAATTCTACAGTTACAGCTGACACTACATCCGAATGTTTTCCATCGTTTCCCGATACCGATAGCGAGAATCCTTGCCCCGGTGTAACTCTAGAAGCGTGCAAATTACATCCCGCAGGAATGGACAAAACTCCCGGTAGAAACGGTTGTAAGATTTTGCATTTATAATCGCCGATTACGTCGGGATCGTTCGGATGTACGTCGGCGATTTTTCCCACGGGATACGAGTTATTGTACACGTACAGCAAGACGTGCACCGATCGCGAACTGGACGGACTGTCGTTCTCGTCCTGCACCAAAATCTTCACGTTGTGCTGCGATTTCATTTTGGGAACGCCGCTGTCTTCAACTTCCACTATAACGTTCAATTCCGGCGTCGATTCCCTGTCTAGCGCTTTCGTCGTGGTGATGGTACCGAAATGCTTGTCTATTTTCACGTGGTTCTTGTGTTTCCCTCCGATTAGATTGTAGGTGAAGGGAGCGCCGTTGGGAGGCAGATCGGGATCCTTCGCTGAGAGTACCATTATTTTGGTGTTGGGCGGTTTGTTTTCCGAAACGTAACCGACCGGCGGCGAATCGAATATCGGCCCGTTATCGTTTACATCGGTGACTTGAATTTTGATTAAGGTCGTTCCGGTTTGCGGTGGAATTCCGGTATCGATGGCTCCGACGACTATCGAGTAACTCGGCACCGTTTCCCTGTCTAGCATCCTGGATGATTGTATTTCGCCCGTTTGCGGGTCGACTTTGAAGGCCTGCTCGATGTTCCCTCCGATGATGGAGTAGCTGAATTGGTTGTTTTGCGCTCTGACGTCTTTATCCACCGCTTTGACCGTTAGCAATTTAGTTCCCACTTCGGCTCCTTCGGATATTTCGGTTTCGTAAACGCTCTGCGAGAATTCCGGCGGGTCGTTACCGTCTTGAACGGTTATAATCACCTGCGCTTCGTCGGTATCGTTGCCTCGAATACCTCCCGCGTTTTTCGCCATCACCGTCAGCACTATCCTGCTTTGCGTTTCTCTATCCAGGTTCCTGGATACTATGATATCCCCGGTTTCGGAGTTAATAGTAAAGCCTTTATCGTTGCTCGAACCTATCAGTAGGTAATACACTTTGCCATCGTCGCCGCCGTCTTGGTCGGTTGCTTGTATTGTACCCACTGTGGTACCGACTTCCGTGGACTCGGAAACGTCGAAATGGAAGACCGATTGGATGAACCTCGGGTAAAACTCGTTCATACCAGTTATGTGGACTTTTATGACGGTCAAACCGGACATCGTTGAATCAGGATTGGAAGCTAGCACGTTCAGCGTGTAGACGTCTTCCTCTTCGTAGTCGAAAGTGATTTTCGATACGATTACGCCAGTTGTTTTGTTGATTGCGAACACTTCTTTATCAGGTCCATCGGTTATGGAGTATTCGATGATGGCGTTCTTGGGCGAATCGATATCGGTAGCTACAACTTTGTAAACGAAGCTACCAGATGGTAAATTTTCGGACAAATACGCGTCGTAAGAAGTCTGATTGAAAGTGGGAGAATTATCGTTGATATCGGTAAGAGTTATAGTCAACATAGCCGTGGATTTGCGTGGTTTAAAGCCCAAATCCTCGGCGGTGATGTTCAAGTGGTACTCCTGGATCGTATCGTAGTCCAGAGGTTGGAGAATCGTCACCGCTCCCGTCATCGTATCGACGGTAAACTCTTTCCGTTCGTTTCCGGCCGATATCCTGTAGCGTATCATACCGTTGGGTCCTTGGTCTCGATCGGAAGCGCTCACAGTCAGAATGGTGGAGCCCAGCGGCTCGTTTTCCGGCACTATTACTTGGTAACTCAAAGCGGTGAACACGGGACTGTATCGGTTCTCGCCCGTTACGATGAGAGTGACGGCGGTTTCGCTTTCCTGCGGCGGTATTCCCTTATCGCTCGCCCGGATTCTCAAATTGTACACCGTCCCGACGCCGAACACCTTCTCGTTCAATTCGATCCAACCCGTGTTGCTGTCGATAACGAAATGCTTGGACCCGTTACCGCCCACCACCGAGTACTCGATCTCGGCGTTCACTCCCACATCGAGCTCGTCTTTGGCCAGCACTCGCAGCATTTCCTGGCCCACTCTGGCATCCTCCGGCACGGGAGTTAGATACTCCTGTTGCTCGAAGCTGGGCGCGTTGTTGTTCGCGTCTACCACGTTGATCGTGACCAAGCATTCCGACGACATCGGAGGTTTCCCGTTGTCGGTAGCTAGAATCGTTAGCGAGTAGGTGTTTTCCGGCGACGACTCCAACAGGGTGTACTTGTACCTCAAGCTCCGCTTGCTGAATATCTCCCCGGAAGCGGGATCGACGGTGAACAGATCCGACGGTTGTTGTAGCGAGTAACTGATCACCGAGTTCGGCCCCTGCTTGTCCCTGTCGGTGGCGGTGACTTGCCCGACGGACACCACGGCTCGCTGCAGCTCGGGGAAGTTGAAGCTGTAGTAGGAGTGCTCGAATTCGGGCGCGTTGTCGTTCTGGTCCTGGATGGTGACGGTGAGAGGCGTCTCCGATCGCCAGGCGTCGTCCACCGCCGCCACTTTCAGTATGTACTCGTCCTGTTGCTCGCGATCCAAGTGCCCCGCCACAGTGACGTTGCCGCTGATCGGGTCTATTTTGAACTTGTTGCCGGGATTCTCGGCGAATATGTAGGTGGCGTTGGCGTTGGATCCGACGTCCTGATCGGAGCTGGTCAGTCTGATGACGAACGAGCCGATCTCCGCGTTCTCGGTGACGTTCACGCTGAACAATCTGGTGAATCTCGGCGGATTGTCGTTTTTATCGAGTACTGTTACTAATACCGTAGCCGTTCCGGATTGTTGCGGTACGCCTTGGTCTACGGCTTCTACTGTAAGCTCGTAGTTGGAGATGTCCTCTCGGTCCAGTCTCACGTTGGTGTAGATCTCGCCGCTTTGCGCGTCGATTTCGAACGCTCCTTCGAAGTCCTGCAGGAGTTTGTAGGTGATTTCGCCGTTTTCGCCTGAATCTATATCGGTGGCCGATACTTTTACGACGAGCAACGGCGGCGCTTCTTCTTCGATAACGGACGCGTTGTAGAGCAGACTGTTCATTACGGGAGCGTTATCGTTGGCGTCGGTAACGTTGATGGTTAGTTGCAAGACGCTCCTCAACGGCGGAGTGTCCGAGTCTTGGGCTTCGATCCAAACCTCGTAGATCGGTGATACTTCGTAGTCCAATCCGCGACCGGTGATTTGGATCTCGCCGTTGTTCTTGTCGATTTTCAGTGCTTCTCCTACGTTACCGCCCGCTATTAGGTATTTTATCTCGGAAGCGGGTCCCTTCTTCGGCGACGAGGCCTTCACCCTGGCGATTATCTTATCCTCTTCGACGTTTTCGGATAGCACGAACTTGGTTTTGGTCAGCGCGGCGAATTTCGGAAAGAATCGACCCGGTTTGAGGAATATCTTCAACTCGGCGCTGGTCTTCCTCTGCGGCCGACCGCCGTCCAAAGCCTCGATTTCGAGATTGAAGATGCTGGTCGAAGACCGCTGCAAGTCGTACACGGCCTTGATCACTCCCGTTTTCTCGTTGACGGTGAAATTTTTCGAGTGCTCCCCCGCCAGCCGGTAGGATATCCTGGCGTTGGCGCCGAAGTCGTCGTCGGCGGCGCGCGCGCCGAACACGAATTCACCGGCCTTCGTTTGGTCCGAAACGTACACTTCGTATTTATTAGAGTCGAATAGAGGCGAGTTGTCGTTTTCGTCGGAGACGTGGATGGTGAGATTCACGGCGGTTGCGCGCGGCTCCGTCGCTGAGCAATCCTGCGCCATCAACGTGAGGTAATAGGAGCCGATTTCCTCTCGATCAAGCGTTACGGCGGTGGTTATAACGCCGGTGTTTTGGTCCACTTTGAAGCGCTCCACTTTGTCGCCGATGAGGCTGTAGCGGATCTTCCCGTTGAGGCCGATGTCTTTGTCGGTGGCGACGGTGGTGACGACCCAAGTGCCTGACGGTAGATTTTCTTTGATCAGAGCCCGGTAGGATTGCCTTTTGAATTCCGGACTGTGGTCGTTCACGTCCTGGACTACCACGCGAACCGTCCCGCTTCCCGTCAACGGTGGAGAACCTGCAGAAATTGCGAATTATTTCACCGAAAGTGTTAGCGAGAGAAGACAAATTTTTCCATAAATAAAATCCATTATTCAAATGGATGTGCGGAGATATGAAGCAATAACGAACATAAAAAAACCGCGCCGAAGCATTTGTGAAACTTTTAAAGGTTCATTCGGGTCAGTAAAAATAAACAATGCGCGCATTCAATCAGCTTACGTTTTTAAAAAGCATTTCCATTTAAAACGGGTGAGGATGAAATCTGCATCGGTTAATGCATCGGCCATAAAAAATGTTTTAAGAGGCACCGCGCGCTTTAGATTGCGGCGCAAATTTATATATAGGCATCGAAACGTTTGCGCCCACCAAAGTCGACAATTCGGACACCTGCGCTGAAATGGTACCGTTATTGAATCACTAATAGTACTATTTTCCGCGTCAGTCGAGTTCCGGATTGTGTTAGAGATGATTTAGGTACTTCCAGATTTTTATTTGGCTATAAAATAAAGCGCAAATATTAGCGCTTCCTTGTTAGGAGATAATAATGGACGATCATTACAGAAAATCATCTCGTTGATGAAGATTTTAGTGGTAATAATGGATGTATAAAATCGGGCGCAAAATGATAGATTTTAATCCAAATCCTATAGGTAAATTGGGCACAAACTCTCAGGTAATAAACATATTTGTGCGGCCGATTTACCACCGCCGATTGTCGAATTCAAGGTAGAATTTTAATTGGCAATTCTCGTAGAATGCTTACTTTTCGCCCGCAAACAAGGAAGCGTGCGACAGGCGAGAATATGATTGCGCTTGTTAGCTTTTCGAAAGTGCTTCGGTTGTTATGCAATCGATGTCGTGTAATGTAGAACAATAAAATATTGCAGCGAGCCGATAAATAAATGTGATAGGCATCGACTAGCGGGATAGTTCGAAACGGAAAAAAAAAGCATGAAGGTATTAAAAGAGTACGAGTACTTGAACCGACGGCGGGGTCAAATCTATAATAACTCGAAGCGACCATAACCGAAACGCAAGCGGCACGATCTGTCTTGTCTCCGTTTCGAAACGAACGTCGTAGTTTCGTGGAGATAGGCGATTCCGGATTTCGATTTAGGCGGATAGAGCTCCGCGCGCTCCGGGCTTCTCGGTATATAAACGAACTCGCCCTTTTCTCCTCTAACGCCGACAAATTGGAATGCCGTTTATCGGAGGATCTGTTTCGGAGCGGACATATTCCGCACAACGTTAGGTATCTAAACGTGATTTTAAATCTCGATTAAGTTATCTTTGAATTGTGCTGCAATTTGTACTTTTTTTTTTTAATGCGATGCATATGGTATATCTAGCAGAGACGGATCCTCAGACTCCTGCACACGTCGCTCGCATAATTCAGGAATTTTTATTCACTTTAGATCGTTAATGAAACAGCGAACTAAACAAATAAAATGGCACGTTACGATAAAATTCGTATATATAGAGTTAACAGGATGCGGAGTTGACCAATAAGACGGCGACCACTCTTCTTTTCCGTGCTAATGAACCATCGAAACCGAATTTATCTGAACGAGTTTACATTGATGTGTTTAATGCACACAATAAACCACGATGAAAAGCCGTCCGTCTTTTTCTCTCGTCCGGTTTTTCACTCTATCCGACTGCAAGCCAGCGTCGGACCATAAAATTCTTCAATTCCGCTTTTATATTAAATTTTGCATTATAAATACTCCTCTATTATATGACCAGAGTATCGCAGAAATGAATTTATCGTTCGACTTGGAATTGAATCGATTTAAAAGAAAATATTTGAAGTGAAAATTTAAAGATGAGCGTGCGCTAATGAGCGCACTAATCCCGAAACGCGCTCTTGCAGCGATAACGTTCTCGGTCGATTATCTATAAAAATCCATCAGCTTCCAAGTACATTTATATGTAAGAAATTTTCTCGAGATATCAGTCAAATATACTGCGTGTTCCGTGGGTATTGGAATCTAGTGTGTTATGGGCATTCTTCGATGGGGAGGAAATAAAATGCGAGTTAAGATTAGGCGTACCTACACTAGAAATTTATACTCGTAATAAGTTAGATATACCTTGTTGTAAGTATAGTGGTTGAGTCAAACTTGAGCGTGTATACGTCGATTGTAAAAATTGGCGAATTTATTTAGTGGAAAATCTCAATTAAAGCGAACATATGCCGGCGGATAATTCGATAAAGTTAGTGTAATTATAATTTTCTCGTACGGCCGACGTTTCAATAAATCACGGCTCAATTATATGGTTAAAGTCCCGTCTTGAGCAAATACTTCTAATCTCGATACACTTTAATAATTCCGTTGCCGTTACGATCCAACGGTAAATTCAAAAGCACAATTTCGCCGGCTCGGGCGCTTATCTAAATGGTATAGGCAACTACTCTTGTGTATAGGGAGGCGGTATTGGGACGAAAATACGACAGAACAGTTCCGCAAATTTTATTGACTATTTTACACTCGGCTCCGGCTTAATGGTCCATTCGAAATTGCGAGATATCGGACGAAATCTAATTTCAAAAAACCGCACTTATTCCCGGCTGATTTATATCCAACAAATCGTGAACTTTGTAAGTCGACTTTAATTAAACGCTACTGTTTTCATCGCCTATTGATAATGCTAGTATAAAACGTACCAAATCGGAACGGCTCGTAAAAGTACCGATTTCGTAATTGTCGATATTTATTAAAGTCGTTAAAATCTGCACGAGCCGAAGCGCCCATTTTTTCCCTATCCCCCTACTCGGACGATCCGTCGTAAATAATACCCGGCGGACATTTATTATAATAGGCAAACACTTAGTAAACTTCCAGGCGATTAATGCAACTCATTAACGTAGCGCGAACGGGATAGGTATACGAAAATTCGCTATAATAATTTATGGCCGACATAAAAAACCCAATATCGATGCGCGTCCGGATTTTTCAATTTTGCCGAAGATAGCGGAAAATTTATCCGCTTATACATTTTGCATACATTTTAAACCACGCATAGTTTCCGAATTGCCTGAAAAATTACCCAATTAATGACGCTGCAAATACGATAAAAGATCCGTCCGGAGATTAATAAATCCGAGATTAGATTGAAATCGATGCGCGGAATAAAAAAAAATCGACTCGGAATTACGGAGACACCCTGTAGAGATCGAATCACGACCCGCCACAAGACAAAATGCACCATCACCCCTTCGACATAAAGCAACCGATGGACCAGAAACGGACCCGATTGAAAAGCAGAAGAATAAGAAGAAGCGCAAGGAGACGAACTGAAGAAGAAGATGAAGAAAAGACCGCTTTGTCTCCAGTTCGTTACAATCGGTAATGTAGATGCTAATCGGAATATCGTGAGAACCCCGCTTCGTGACATTTCATGTTCGACTCTAACCGACAGAGACGTATTTAATACCTTCAAATAATTTATTTATAATTAGATTATGAGGGGGACACGAAGGCACGTTAAACTACGCAAGAGAGTTGATTTGAAATGAAACTTATAATGCGAAACTCTTACCGGTATCCATAGCGACTAAATTCAACACGTATTCATCCTGGATCTCCCTATCCAGTGCTCTCAGCAGCGATATATCCCCCGTGGAAGCGTTGATCTTGAATATATCAGTATCACCTTCTTTGATGAAGTACTTCACCAGGTTGTTGAACGGCGGCGTATCGGCGTCGAACGCCCTAACGGTTATCACGTAACCGCCGTCGGGCGGCACCACGTTCTCCATCACGTAGGCCAAATAGGGCGAGTCGAGGAACGTCGGCGGATTGTCGTTGATGTCCGACACCGATACCGATATCTTCGACGCGTCCGAACGCACGGCGTCGCCGGCGCAATCCTCGGCGCGCACCGTCAGCTCGTAGCGCGACTTGCGCTCGTAGTTGAGGTTCTTGGCCACGCGCACCACGCCCGTGTCCTCGGCGATGGTGAAGTCGCGGTTCGCGTCGCCCGCCTCGATCGAGTAGCGCACCCTGCCGTTCAGGTGGTCGTCGATGTCCGTCGCCGATACCTGGAAAACATTCCGATATTGGATTGGTGTCGAACACGGTGGATCCGGAGGTATAGAGGACCTTTCAAACTAGAGGTTCTTTCAACCTGTAAACCTAGAGATCTGCTGGACATAGAAGATCTCTGGGACCAGAATATCTCGCCACCAAGAGTGCCTCTAGACCTAGAAGATCTCTGTTCTAGAAAGCTTCTGCACCTAGAAGATCTCTGGACCTAGAAAGCTTCTGCACCTAGAAGATCTCTGGACCTAGAAAGCTTCTGCACCTAAACTTCATCCATCCAACCAACGGAGTAATCAAAACAAGGTTAGACGCGTGACCATGAAGCACATTCGCATCTATTGGGTAAAATAAAAAGGCCTCCTTAGGCCGGCCAATCACTGGTGATCACGCGTTGATCCAGCGTCTAATCTTGTTTTAGTTACTCCATTGGTTGGATAGATGAAGTATAAAAGATCTCTGAACCTAGAAAGCTTCTGCACCTAGAATATCTCTGGACCTACAGAACCTGTGTAAAGACCTAAAAAAAACCTTAGGACTAAGAGAATTTCTGGATCTAGAGACCTCTGCGACGTACCCTTCTGTGCCTATTCGCCAGCCTAGAGAGAATAAACGAGAAATGAGTACTCACTTGTAGCACACTGGCTCCGATGGAAGCGTTCTCGGAGATGCTGGCGCTGTACTGCTTGGGATCGAAGACGGGACTGTTGTCGTTCTCGTCCGATATCTTCACCAGCAGCTTCGTGGTGGTGAGCCGGGGCGGATCGCCGCGATCTCTGGCCGTGACGGTGAGGGTGTAGTTGCCGGTGGTTTCCCTGTCGATTTTGCCGCCGACTCGCAGCAAACCGTCGACGGGACCGAGGGTGAAGACGCTGTTGGCGAGGGGATCGTTGGAGAGGGAGTACTCGATGTAGCCGTTCCTGCCTTCGTCCTTGTCCGTCGCTTTGATGGCCATCACGACGGTGTTGACGGGGATGTTTTCGGATACGGTGGTTTCGTTGGGGGTGATGAATTCCGGCGACATGTCGTTGATGTCTTTTAGTAGTACTGTTACCTGGAAAATTGAAAATGCTGGATAACACCTAACTCTCTCATTACGTGTGTGCAGTAAGTGCAATTATTGCACAATCACACAAAAAAATCAGCATTTTTTACTGCATTATCTGCTCCTACGTACCTAACTGTAAAAACTCGAATGAACAACGAAAAAAAAAAACAATTAAAGAAACAAGATTTCGTTTATTTTACTCTCCCTTCGACAGCTAAAAAAAAGAAGCCCATCCAAAAAACTGATAATCACAAGAACTTGTCTATGTCAATACTCGAGTAAAAGCTTTATAGTCCGGTCGAATTAAGTCCAATAATATTCCCTCCGTTCTTTTATCAACCACAAATAAATTATCAATCAAATCGTTAATTACATTAAACACATTATTAGTAAGTAAAATAAAAAAATACAGATCAATTCGTAAATGATTTTGTATTGAAATCTAACACCCCAAACGACTGGTCTATATATGCAAATACGTCGAAACAACGTTACCATCATCTTTAAAAATCTCTTTGACCGTTTACATACGTGTCAGTGGATGTTAACACGGCCTGTTAAAACAAATAATCGACGATTTTGACGTACGGCCCAGAAAATTCCGATTCCCTAATTAAGTTTTCAAGTCGTCTCTTTTATTCCGATTATTTATTGGTCTTAATAATATACAAATTATTCCAAAGTGGAGGTTGATGACGATTTTTTTTTTCGCTTCTTTCTTTTAAACGAGCTTCGGCTAATACGGTCGAGCATTGTAGACGATCGATTTACATAAATTGAATGGATTACGATTTACGAACGCTCGGTATATAATGGTGTGATGGTTACGTTTTCGGTTTTAAAGGGAATTCGACTTGCATTAAGATTATTTCTTCCCTTAAGTAAATAATAGTAAATAATTGTAATTACTTGTACTGTTGATGACAGCCTGCTCTCTGGGCTTGTAGCTTGGTCTGTAGCTGTAACTACAAGATTGTAAATGGCTTGTTTTTCTCTATCCAGTTCCTGCTTGGTGAAAATCGTGCCATTTTGTAGAATTTCGAAACTTCCAGCATCATTTCCAGACGTTATGGCATACACAATTTTACGATTATTTCCTGAAATAAAAAAATATTCTATTAACGAAACTATCGACTCAATTTGATCCGGTGCTATACAGATTATTAATTTCGTAATCCAGCTTTTTATTATATTTGTTTACGAGTAGGTAAATACGGGCTAATAATAAAATTAACGCAATTTACGGTAGACTTTAACAATGAGAAAAATCCGAATTTCAATCACCGAAATAACGAAGATGGCGCGATAAAAATCGAAAAATCGTAGCGGCCGATCGCCCGGTCGCGCGCACAACAAAGAAAAAGAAATTGGAAAATTTAATTACGGGCTCACAAAGAGCTCGGATTCGAAATTGCCTCGAACGGCCCCGAATTCGACATGGCTCTCCATTAAATAGCAATTTTCGAGCTTGAAGGGCGCGACGAAACTCGGTTGTCAAATGAAGATATTAAAAGAAGAAAATGACGCGCGCGCTCGGGGTTTCGAAATCGCGCCGTCCCCGAAACGGGTTTTGACCAACTCCGATTCTGCCAGATCGAACGAAAACGATATAAATTTTGATGAATGCGCTTTCGTTATTCGACCTACTGTAAACGTTAAAATAAAATAAATAACCTAAACAAATTGTCTTTGGTTCCTATTAATAGATAACTGAAGGACAAAATGTCCTTCAAACCGCTTCAAATTATTAGGGATTTTTTTAAAAATTCATTTAATGATATTTTGATTTTCTATTTTGCACTAAAACTAAAATTAACAACGCCATAAAAACGGTCGAATTTGAATAAAAAAAAGTATAAAATTTAAACGAACTCTATTGGAATAAACGTAAAAAAATGTACATATTATTTTTCATGCTTATTAAATTTTACGATTCCGCGTTAATAACTTCGGCTAGTGTTTCGAATCGATTACATTTTACGATAAGAGAAATATTAAAGGAGACCTCTGCAGAATTCGCGCGGGTTCGAACGCAGCGAATTAACCGAAAGGTAGAAAAAAATAATTTTTCCACTTTTAACATTACTATTAAATTCACGCTAATGCGTTTGTCACCGGACGCGTTTCTCTCCTTTGAACCCCGAGGTCAGACACGAACGAGATGACACTGTATAATTAAAAGAACTGTTAGTTTGCTCGGCGGATAAGACACGGGAAAAATGACCTACAGACTGTATAATCTCGCTATATTGCCGATAAAAAATTAGAAACCGACGCATTCGTAATAACGCCATTTTGCTACGAGGAAACCGCAAATTCACCATTACAATTTTATTTCCAACGAACTATTAGATTCCATTCGAGCCATCCTCGTACACAGTTAGGATAACGACTCCCTGTTTTTGGCATAACAAGTCTTGCGTTCTCGTTAAAACTAGAAAATTGCGAAATCAATTTCAACGACGTCCGCGCGAATCCCCTTATATAAATTTCTCTCTTCTATTTTTTATTACGCGCGCATTGTTACCAACGCAGTATTTACGCCGAGCTGCCAACTTAAAACCGAGTTACTTACCGCTGTCGGCGTCAGTGGCGCTGACTGTCACTACGGGCGTGCCCGCGGTGACGTTCTCGAAGATCTCGTTGCTGTAGGACATCGGATCGAAGAGCGGAGCGTTGTCGTTGAGGTCCAGGACGTTGCAGTAGACGGTCAATGTGCTGGATAAGGCCGGATGGCCGGCGTCTTGCGCTTGAACCACCAGGATGTAATGTTGCACCTGGAAGGATTGGAAATTTATCGGTTTGGTTGGGAATTTACGAACTAGTCGAGGTTTTTTTTTAAGTAATAATCACCACGTGAATGGACGGCGCTCGCGTGGGCTTCCAGCTCGCCGGAACTTCTTAATTAATCTATACGAGAGAATAATTATTGCGGCCGTTAATTTACACGTTTCTACTGAAATGGAACGTTTACTTTCCATTATACTATCGCGTTATAATTCTATTTAAAGGAAATTACTTAAACTCCGAAAATGTTCAATATAACTTTTCACCAAATACACAAATTTTCTTAAATATCGCACGATACAAAGCGAGCATATTTCTTCATTATCTCTTATCTACCGATGCATTTTGTTTAAAATATTACACATTAGATACCGTTAAAGTTATTCAAATGCCTCGACTTCCTACTAGCACATAAGCCGGGTGAAAAAAAAACGTCCAGTTTTCTCTTCGGATTCCCGTTTCATTCATCTATCTAAACAATTCGCATATTTCATACCGGCCTGACATCCGTCCGGCGAACAACGCAGCAAATACTGAAAAAGGTAATGACGAGAAAATAAACCATAAATTCAATAAGAACATTTAACTCAATCGCTCGCTTTCTACAATATTAATAGAATACAGATAGATTCATTGACCGGTTTTTTTTCGTCTACGATATTGTCACCTATAGATGGCAGGTTTTACTTGACACTTTTTTACAACTGTTTATTTTCATACGATTAATTACACTTCAGTAATTCCAAAACTCGATCTTGGAGTGTTCTAAATTATTCTGCACAGTTCAAAATGGTTCTGGAAGCAATCTAAATGATTCTGTATTATTATTATAATATTTATGTTAGAAAAATGGTGTCAGGCAGAGTTATTGTTAGTGTAGTAATTAAGCGGAATAGGTTTAAAAGCGATTGTCTCCGGCGTGTATTAGCGACATTTTTTCGAACACCCGGCCGCTCTATCCCCGTGTGAGGTAGAGAATCCAATTGATATTCAATGTCGATGTATCGATGTCGGCTCAAACGACTTCTTACTATCGCGTCTTTACCATTTAATTGCCGCTTTTTCCGCCGGCTATCGAAGCCGACTCCGTTTTCCGACGTTAGAAAATGAAATTCGCCCCGTTTCTTTTATAACTCTGTTTACCGGCGAAAAAATACGCCGGTCGGCAAATTTATTCGTGCTGCGCGAGTAACATAAGTACTCGTATTTAAGTACGTGTGCGTGCACGTCCTTGTGCCGATTCTGGACCCGAAGGCCAGGGCCGTACCGGCCCGATTTATCGGCCTCGACAGCTGAATATTTCACGAGTAACAACGCCGCGTGTACCGACAATAACGAAAATAAATCGAGCGGGAGATGAAGAGGAAAAAAAAAACGGGGGAGCTATTGTCAACTCGGACTCGTGCCTATATCGAAGTCGGCTCTCGCTGGAAAAATCGCTGACTTACGATCACCGGGCGATTTTCTGTATAAAACGAGACCACCTATGATTGAGTGCGCCCGTCAGTAACCGAGATATATCCAATATGCTACAGGGTGGCTCAAACTAGTGCTTATTTACACTTAGTATCTTTAAAAACGCATCAATTGATCACCGTGTTACGCTAAATTTTGATCTAAAAAAGGAGTCTGAACGAAGTGTTATTGGTTGTTTATAAAATCCACCGTGGTATAATAGATGCTAACGTTATTCAGAAATTTTACTTGAGACGTCACGGACGGGGTTCGATGGTGAAACGGTGTGTTTGCGTTGTACTACATACGACAAACTTATTTACAGAAGCGCTACGTGAATAATGTTTTTTTTATGTAGTGGATCTCGAGCCCAGAAAGCCTCTATACGAGTGGTTGTTTGGTTTATACACAAGGCTGGTCGGACGTCGAGTACCTCAACTCCAAAACGCGGAGTAAGTAATGCGAAATGATGGATTTTCGCGTCGGAACGCGACCATTTGTCTCGCTCGGCGACTGTATTTCGACGGAACGTGAAAGAATATCGTCGTATAATGATCGAATATGTCTCGAGACGTTCAGAATCACCGCTAGTTACGAGACGTCCGAATGACAAAAACTAGAAACTTCGGCCTGAATGCCGTCCCGAAAACAAAGCCGGTCCGCCGGCCGCCGCTCTTCGCTGCTTTTTTCCAGAAAACGCGATACAATAGACGCTGCAAAAGGATATATCCCTCGCTAAACACACACGATAATTCATTATTACACCTTAATCTAATAATCAATAATCGCACAGGGCGGCTTAGTATGGAAAATAGTAGAGACAATTTTGTGAGAGAAATTTCTGTGTATTTTGGATTCCCGATACAGTTTTATTTACTCCTTGTAACCGTATAGGTTCCGTGAACCGCTGGGAACAATGCGAACATAAAAAATGCAAAATTTGTCACGGTGACGAATTCGAAAAAGAAATTCTATCGGTATATTGGTCTCAGTAAATCGAGGCGAAATCGTTCAGCTCACGTATTTTCATTATGCAGATATTATGCCATTCACTCGCCATACGACCGAGGAATTTGTATGTTTGAATACTCGTAAAATTTGAGAACGGTCCATTGTCGTGCGCTCGAGAATTCCACAACATATCCCTGCAATTATTAATTACATTAATTGCATACGAATTAAATTGGCGATCGATAATCTCGTTAATCGTGGAAGTTTTGCGAGTTAATAACCAGGTGTAACGGTTTGTTGGTTCGTTTAAATTTAATTTGTATACGCCTATGTGAAACTTAACACTTCGAACGCATATTTTCTCGCCTAAAACAGTTCGAGGAACTTACTTGTCTCTTTGTTTTCGACAAACGTTTCATTCAAATTCGAATTCAATGCGCTTTTCTCGCGTTACTTCGAGACGGTTTAAGGAGAAAACGAAAAGGTCGTTTAACTATCAATAGAGCGCTGTTTTTGTTGAAGTTTTCGCGTGAATTTCCCTACGGGTCACCTCGAAATTATTCCCGCGAATACACCCCATTAAAGCGAATTAAAACGCGCGCCGCCTCATTGAAACATTCAAATGCACAGAACGATTTTTTTTGTCTTTCTATTATAGTCAGGGGGCCGAGCCGCTCAGACGGGATTTCGAAATGATCACAATATTTTTTCGCGCGATTTACGCGCGCCTCGTGTGTGGCCGGCCATTCCATAAACCTCTCCGAACCGTTCCCTTTGGGAACGTTCCTTATCGGCTTCGCCAAAGCGGCAAAAACATACTCACTTCTTCGTAGTCCAATTTGGACGTCAAGGTGAAGACGCCGGTTTGCGGATTCAGCGAGAACACGTCGTTGGCCCAATCGCTGATCACCGAGTAGGTCAATTGGGCGTTGGCGCCCAAATCCGGATCGGACGCTTTGATCTGGCCCACGCGCGATCCTCGCGCCGCGTTTTCCGGTATGTCGAACGAATAGGCAGGCTCCAGGAACGCCGGTGGATTGTCGTTTGTGTCTGTGACCTGCAACAAAAAAAATGCAAATGTGCTATAAAAAGTTCGAAAGCCTCCGGTTTGAAGAAATACGCTCGAATGGAAACTCTAAAGAACTCAGTGTGTATAGGTAAAAAGTAGTCAATCAGGACCGAGAAAGCTTACTCTGTATTTTTAGTGAATATTTTACTTTATTTTGTAGTCTTTTTTTCAGATAAACAATTAGAAATCGTCTTCCAAGTAGTCTTGAATCGGTTCTAAACGATTTTGGGCAATTCTAAATGGTCCTAGCCAATTCTAATAGGGTTATAACTGATTCTGGACAGTTCTAATTTATTTTATGCAATTGTAAATGATTTTACAACTTTTTTGAAACACTAGCAAGTACACGTTCTGTATTTAATACCACACATATCTCCTTTTCTTGAGCGATATAAAGTCAGATTACACTTTCTTTATCGCACTTGTATTACACGTATTAGATCATGAATGACCCTGTAGAAGCAACTGCAGTAACTCCTAATAGTATAAACTTCACTGTACGCCTCCTCGTTCTAAAGCGAGAGACGTCCGAAACGAGTTCCGCGTTTCTTCTCAAAATATCTTATCAATCTTCCTTTGTTCTTCGTGCGCTTTTAATTAACGATCTATCGGATTTCGATGTCGTCATCGATTAGATTTTTCGATTAAGAGAACCGAGTCAAACAATTATAAATCGTATTTTTGTCGTCCGAAGGATGCGCGTTGGCGGATTTTATTTATCGCATTGTCGACGGCGCGCCCCGAGGGAGATCCGGAGCCGACCTCAAACTCGAGAGAAAAAAAAATATATAATATACAACGAACGTTTTATTATACTTGTAGAATTTAGGTCGGTTTTGTTGGTGTATCCGTAGGAATAGTAAATAACGCGTACGAGACGGGAAGTAAAATGCACTCGTTGAATAAATTTCTGTAAGCACCTCGTACGTTTTTATCGCTATTTAATATCCGCAAATTCGGGGCGCTCGCTCGATCGTTAAAAAGCAACATTGTAGCTTTTTGGGCTAAATAACCGCATCTGATAATTGCATATCGTATACCTTCCAATATAACTGTTTGCACTAAATCAAAATTATGATATACATACGCACATACGGTTTGATTAAGTCGTACGTAATAAATAAGAGAGCTACATTAACTGTTAAATAAAGTGCACGAAACCTTTAAACAGTGTAATTATGCGTTTATATTCGATACGAAAAATTATACAACGACCAACAAACGAGAGGTATTTAAAATACCGTTTACCCATATCTACTCTCGTTTATCGTGGATAAAGGGGTAGATGAAAGAACCATCAATACTATCATTACCATACTCTTAACTTTCTTCATGGGAAAACCTTACTAGATTTGTTCGAGCTTATCTTAGAGCTTTGATAATAAGTAAAGCGAGTTAAGAAATTGTCAATTTAAAATATATAAGAAACATTAGGACATCCTCTAACTATTAATCGGTCGATTGGCCGTGTGACTGATAGGCGCAATTTCGACGGAATTCGAAAATCGATCGACAGATGTTGGAAAATGGCCGGGGATTTTTCCGCTTCGAGCCGAGGGCCATTAATAATTGTAGTGCGAGGCATAATCGAGCAGTACCATCGACAATTACGGTTCAATGCACCTCGGCTGTTAGTCTGAAATCTGCCAGATCTGCATCTGTAGTGGCAACTATGATAAAGTGCTAGACGCGACTAGAGGCTCTCTGTGTACACCGCCAACCGTTGTGTTAAGTTAACCGTATTAGGACGAGCTTTATGCACGGAAATTCAGTACCTTTAGGTAAATGGTGTTCGGTACTGTCCTCTACTGTTCCTTCGTTAATCATTTCGGGTTTAAATCAACCAATTTCCTCATAAGCAATGTGCTTGTATCTATACAAACAGATGCGAATGTGGAATTTCTCTAATTGAATAATTTATTGGTTTTGAAGTGCAGCAGGATATCAAATAAATCAAACGATTTTTTCGAATTCCTTAAAAATCCGTAATACTCGCCAGCGCGATGACCGGCGAGTGATTAATGGGTACCTACTTATCCGAGTTTATTTTTTTTTACTTTTTGGAATATCTATTGACGTTTTGAAAATCGTTTTCGACGTGTACGTAACCGACTTCACTTCTGTTTATTAATGAATAACTCATAAATACTCGTCGTTTTGACATATCAACGATGCATCATCGATTCATTATGAATCTGTCGTACGTCACTTGTCGTTTGTCAACGCATTACCGCGCCTACTTGACGCCATATCTACACCAATGTCACTAGATTACCGAAAGAAACTTACCTCAATGTGTACAATAGTATCGGTGTATTGATTCCCATCGCTGCATCTGACCAACAACTTGTAGTTATCGGTAGTTTCCCTATCTAACGAATCGACCAATCTGAGCAATCCACTGGATTTTTCCAGCGAAAATTTCTTCTCGCCTCCTTTCAACAGCGTGTACTCCAAGGCTCCTATGGTGTCAGGATCCTCGGCTTTGATGACGGCTATGGATTGTCCTGGACCCAGATCTTCGGACACGGAATAATGCAGAGGAGCATCCTTGAAGGACGGCGGACTGTCGTTTTTATCCAACACCGTTATCTCCACCTGGAATAGAAACGAAATTCGTTAAAATTTGGCAAACTCGATTCGATACGGCACTGGAACACCAGCCTCCGGTTTTTGCGAATGTCAAAAATTCGTTTACGAAATTAATACAAACAAAAAACGACGGACATAACTCAAGTTCAATTATGTCTACAACATTTCTGGGCGAATTTTTTTCCCGCGCCGAATAGGCGAGGAATCGTTTCCGAGAATAATTTGAAACGGCTCGAAAGACATTATGGAATGTTCGACGCTTTCGCGGAATCCTTCCTCTTCGTGTACATTTAATTTTTTTGCAAATTCGGACGGCGATTTGCGCCATGGGAATCGATCCGAGTCTCTCTATAGGTGGGTATACTGATGATGCAACAATAGCAAGAAACATGGGACAACTTAAAAATGGGAATCGATAAGGTTTCTGGACAATTAACATTGATTACCGTTCTTTTAAGAGTTAAATTTTCTGTCGGAAATTTCGTGGTGAAATTGCGTTTTCGCTGGGAAATTAAAATGTTGTAAATAAAAAAATGGAAAGAAAAGGAAATTGGTATGTAAAATTTTATTTCCTGCGTTAAGGGAATAACGTTGATTGTTTCGAGGCAAATATTTTACGATGGTATAAACACGTTTAGGATATCTGATGCGAGTTTTTCAAATTATTTAAAGAACAGGACCGGGTTCGATTTATTAGGTGGATATGAAATGAAATTAAGTGTATCTATTGAGTTTAATTTGTATTATCGTCTATTGAATAACATTTATCTCCAAATTAGTGAGCGCAAGTGAAGATTGTAATGGGAGAGGTCATGACAAAAATATTGTTTGATATGATTTGATTTGAAATCTAATTATACCTATTTCTTTTTATTATATTTGTCTGCCCATGGGTCCATTAGCTGTTTCTTTAATCCTTATCGGAGTTGTTTATAGTGCCTAGCGATAAGATAGTTACATTTTGATATTTGAAACTAAGTAAACACATTTAAATTGACAAACGTTCAACCAGCAGTGGTGTTTTAAACTGTTAGGATGAAGAATAATACTCAAAAATCAATCGAAGAATTTAATATACCAGTTCCTTGGGGACATATAGCAGGTAAGGATAAGTCTTGCATATTTTCTATTACTAACAAATTACGGTGAATATTATACAGGGAGTTTTAACAAAATACATATTATCAGAAGTGTATTTTTGTTTGTATGCTATTAATTTTCACATTTTGCAGTAAAATGCTGGGGCAGCAGTGATAATCCCCATGTGATTATGGTGCACGGTACATGCGATAACGCAGGAACCTTCGACAATTTATTAGAGTTACTGACTGATGGTTTTTATTACATTTGCATGGATTTGCCGAGCCACGGAAAATCATCGAGATTTCCGCCTTTTCTACCCATACAGTTCATGGATTTTGTGCTGCCGATCAAATTAGTTCTGGACTATTTCAAACGAGAAAAATACATTTTTATAGGCCACAGTTTGGGCGGGCAATTGGGTTATTTGATCGCTCAATTGTACCCCCGGTATATCGAGAAGATTATTTCGCTGGATGCCACGCCGATGTTTCATTCTGTTAATAGTTCCAATGCTATTAAGTACCTAAAGCGAAAGTTGGATAATAATTTCGATTTGTTAATGGATAATAAACCGTCCACTGTCGATTCTTATGCGGAGATATTGGAGCAATACCGAACTAATCGATACAGGGGTGAAATTTTAACTGAAGCTGCAGCTAAACCTATGCTCGATAGATGTTTGCAAACTACCGGTAAGTATTTAGTATGTAAGCAAATGCGGATAATTATATTTTTATTAATTTTTAGTTGATGGAAAGTATTACATAACGACCGACCCCCGTATGAAATGGTTTATCGAACCGCTCAGCGATGATCTGTACAAATTGGGGGTGATTAAAAACGATCCTGTGAATTGCCCTATACTGATAATATACGCAAAATATAATTTTCTCACTAGATTAAAATACAGCAAAGTAGTGAATGCGTTCCATTCGTTCAAAAATGTTAAAATCGTGTATGCTCTTGGAAAGCACGATGTTCACAACAACAAACCCGAATTTATTGTTCAACATATTCACCATTTCTTAATCAATACTAAATCGAAAATGTAGTTAATTACCCTAATAAGTTTATAAATTAAGAACACCCGTAATATTAACTATCAGTCGGTGTTTTGTAAAGCGTTTGAAACGTATTTAATACTCATACAAAGTAGTGCATCTATTAAATCGCTAATTTAATAACTGCTTTCCTCCTGGATGCTAATTCGATTTAGATAAATTTATATATATTACAAAATTACGATCTGAAAATCCTCACGTCGGCATATCGTTGGAAAAAAGGACACTTATAAGCGTTCATTACATTGAAATATGTCGTTATTCATGAGTAAAAGTAATTAGTGGCGTTCTGCTTTTAATTAGTACAACCGTCAATTACTATAAGTGTATTTTCCTGTAATAAAAAATTAAACATTTAATACCAAGTATAATAGGCTGTCGATTTTTGTGTAGGTATTATTACATAAAATAACACTGTTTGTATAACTATTAATTGTGTTTATTAAGTTATTTATCAAACGGCATTAAAAGAGAAAGGCTAAATAAATTATACCAATTTTACAACAGTATGTAGAGTAATCCTTTATAAATTTGCACGTCGACCTTGCAACGAATCCGATTAAAACAATTATAATACCGTTATTAATTGTCGCGATTTTTAGTCAATTAATTTACTTTTTACATAAATTATGCTGAAACCCAACCGACACCATAGAACGTTATTATTTGCGACATTTACTGCTCTTTTATGAACCTACTCTGCGGTTGGGGTAAGTCTAAGAGAAACTATTTCATTTGCTATAATATACAGTGTGTGTAACACTCCATTTGTAATCCATTTTCAACCTCCATTCGGGAGTATTATTTATTAAGTATTTGCAGACGAATCGATGAAATAAAATCATCACAATATCGAAATAATTAATCGCATTAGTGATGATACGGGACAGATCGCAATCGAATGAAAATGAGCACGGCAAGAACATCGAAAGATTTATCTATGGATGTAATCAGGTAGATTGTTAATACTCATATGCTCTAAACGCCGTGTAGCGGGTAATTTGAGCCGATCGGCGGAATTAACACGTATAACGCCGCTTGTTTAGAAAGGAGATTTATAAAGGTACACAACCAGTGGTTTCGTAAAACGATTTTGTTCGCCGTTTTACTACAATATGTTCGAAATAATACGTACTTATAGCGCACAATACAGCGTAAATTTTGTTATAATTGGTTGAGAAAAAGTGGGTAGTTGTTGATGAAGATAAAGTGTATAGTTGAACGAATGTAAATTGGGTGCAAAAGAGGTTGTAAAAAGGGGTTCATTTGAGTTAACTGCAAAGCTTTTCTAACTGAAATATACTCGTGTCGAATTTACCCAAAGATTTTAAGCTTGCTTCAGGTACTAAATAGATATTTTTATGCCCAATTTACTACTGGCTAGTGTAGTTATAAACGGTATAAAATTGTCAATTTGGCGGAGTTTTGGCAACGGCGCATTCGGGCGTACAGTCGGAACTCGTTCCGAAAGTGACGAAAACAAGAATACTCTTAGTTAATACTGGCGGCTCTCATTAGTATTCTTTGCGAATTAATCCAAAAAGAGGACGGCAAAAGGGGCCGACGACGACATTCATTCGGTCGGGGCCCGGGCATTCCGTCCCGCGGACTCATTTCGGGCCGCTAAACGACGTCACCGGCCACTGCAAATATTTCAAAATCGTCGGAAAAAGTGCTCACCCGAACGGACGAGACTCATAAACATCCCGATCCGGGGGAACGGATGCCTTTCGGACGAGCCACGGCAGCGTCGGAACTGATCATGCCAAATATTTCCACCCTTTATATACCTACTACAAATTTCAATTCGTTAAAATCCCACAACTCTAGAATTCGTTTTTTTTAATTAAGGCATTTTATATGGAAAATTATTTTATTTTATTCCGCGTACCCACTTTTTTGTCATGCATTAAGCATACTTGAAAATTGAAGCATAAAATAACAGGGCGATATTTATCTAAAATTATAACTACATTGTGATGGTTTAAAAGTTATGGATATCTCGGTAGTAGGTAGGCGACTTTTTTTTATCGAAATATATCAAACAAAGATATATCGGTGGGGAAAATTCCAGCAAAATTAAAATCGAACGTCGAATGCTGGGTTCTATATTTACGACATAAATGCTGCAAAATTATTGCATACAAGTACATAATTACATACGAACCTTAGGCTCTAGGGCAATATTTATGTAGGCGATAGGCCTAAACGTAATTTTATCATCAATTATTTCAGATTTTAATACTCGATATCTTGCATATAATAACCTTGAGTTGTTTTTTTTTTATTATTACAAAGAAATTACTCCTGCTGCCTCCGATGCGCATAGGGTGACCCAACCGAACTCTTTTATATTCCTGATGTACTGTCGATAACGCTCCTGCTACGAGCTACATCGGGGTTTCACCGATTTAAATACATAATTACCCTTCGGCCTAATTATAACGATTCAATTTCGTAATTCGATTAATTAAAATGCGCGGATTTTTTGCGGAAGGCGCTTTTTTGGTCCACCGCGTACGCGCCCAGACAATGGCGGCCGACATGAAAGGCGACTAAAAATATTAAAAAGCTATAATTTTAATTCGAGTTGGTTTTGCTAAGCCAAAGGACTCGAGCACATCGCTCGTGTGTAATTGAAAAACCGCGAGTATATCGCAAATGGTAATTTACACGACCGACCCAAAGGTTTGCACTATTTATCCACAAAAATTATTTTTTTCCTAATAACACCTTTATTTTCGGCGGACAATTTACACCCAATTTACATTCGTTTAATATGAAATATCAATATCAAATCGAATAAAATTTCGTTCGCGTCCTTATACCATTACACAAACATTTGAATTATAAATGAATCAACGTAACTCTTACATCTATTATGGGCAAACATAACATTCCGAAAGTCGGTGTATTTTATTTGTTTTAATAACTAACGAGTACGATTCAAGTTCAACAAACTGCCGGTATATAGAATACACGAGAAGAGTATCCTACCCGACCTTTTTTTTTCGTTCCAGCACCACGACAAGGAGGCTTTCATTAAACATCGATGGTGCCTTGTCATTCCTCGTGTTCAATTGTTAAGCAGATATGAAATATTCGACTGTCCGTCGTTTCGACGTAGAGAATTCATCATTAGATTTCAAGCGATATTGATAATTTTAGCATCATTAATACCTACTTATTATTTTGAAATTTATTATGGAATAATGTAGACTCGTCGGTGAAAAACAGGTCGCGTGTTTTAACGTACGCCATGTATATCGTATGGAGAATTTGAATATTTAATTTAATTTGCGAATAATTCGCCTATGAGAGAGCAAACTGTAATAATTAATTCGAATGGGATAATTCACCGAAAATCTCCATGTTAATTCGGCTAATTTAAACTTCCCGTCGACGGAATTTTAGCATAGAAATGGCGAAATCCTTTTAAAAATCTATAAAAACCTATTAAAAAACGCTTCTTCTATCAACGCGGCGGGCCGTAAAACTGTCACATCTTTTACCGATTTTTTTTCGTATCTATTAAATAGCGCAAAAGTCCTCTTCTTTTAAAAAACGCCGAAATCCTAGGCTATTAGACTATTAAAATCACTACTGAATAATTAATTACTTTTTTAGCATAGATATGCCGAATAATAAAAAATGTATTATAGTGTAGTTTTTTACAGACAAAAGACCAAATCAAGGGTATAAAATTAGTCGTGGATTTTTTATAAATTTGTAGAATTTTATTATCCAAAATTACCATAATTACTGATTCAATAGAGTTTTTGTAAACTGGAAATACATTTGAATTTCTTCTTTACTATTGTTTAGGAGCTTTTGTAGTCTATAAAAATAAAATTGGGCTATTTGAATGTCATTAATAATTTTTCGAAAGCACGTTTTATAGCGAGGCAAACGAGATATTTTCGTCCACCTTTGTGTACCTGGCGATTGGTGATATTCTAATGATTATGGCAATGTATGAATTCCAAGCATTTTAAGTATGTAATAAAGACAAGACAATCTGATTTACAATCAATCTGTTGGTCTACGGATAGGCACCCACAAAGGCAATCAAGTAGTGGGTGATATAACTCATAGCCACATTGTTTCTATGCAAATACGTCCTTACAGGACGATTATCATAAAAGTTTAGTGGTTGTTGTAAAAAGTCCGGATAATAAAAACTGCACGCCCTCGTCGGCTGCATTAAAAATTAAAACCAATAAAACTGGCTAACTGAAAGAATTAAAATCATTTTTCCAAAGTCAACAAACATACAGGGGTTCTGTATATTCGGGCGTATAGATATAGGCAACTAGTTTTGCGCAACAATTACCTCACCTACCTACGCGCAATTCGGGTTGCATAACCCATAATTCCTAAGCAGATAGATGCGCTTTTATAAAAATCCGTTCACCTGGAAATTTTCTCGATTTCTTCTCGTTTTTCTGCGGCTACGCGCGCATATTTCAACGCCGTCTCGCCCGTATTTCCAAGTGTTGTCAGCTATGAGATATGAAGGCTAGTTCGGAATGTCACCGGTAATTGTCAATTACCGGCAGCGACACTGTAGAATAATGTGCACTCGGTCGATGTGCAGTTTTGCGCGTAAAAAGGATGATATAGTACGCGAGCGCGTTTCCCGTAACAAATCGAAATGTTTCCGATCGAACGATTTCCCCTTTATGTCGAATTAATTAGACGAAACCATTAACATGTTAATAACGCGAATAGAAAATTTGAAAAATTCGTCGCCAGAGCGAGCGCACGGACTAAAATTGATGGTAATCTCGCGGGATCGAGTCGGTGCTAATTTGAATTAAATTCCCTTGTTTGTTCCTATTCCTACTTCTACATACCGCTATAGAAAGAACGCATTTATTTTATTAGAATATTACACTAAAATAATCGATTTTTTTGTTGAAAAATTCTATAGGCCTGAAAACGTTCTACTCAAATAGTCCAGAAACGATGCTAATAGTCGATCAATTAGTCGATTTTTCAATAAAAAAGATTTTACAGTCTTTAAAAGTACTAAAAAGCGTTCTAAATGGCTCTGGACTTTTCTATGATAGTTTGTCCTGGACTATTTTATTTATAAATGATTAAGGACAGTTCTGAGTGGTTCTAAGATCATTATGAACTGTTTCAAATGTTCCTAGTCCGTTCTAAAATGGGTCTAAACGATTCGGAATAGTTAAAAACAGTTTGGAACGGTTCTGAATTGTCTGCAAAACCGAGTTTTTTTATTTATTCCTGACGTCTACTTTTTCTTCTGACGGACATAAATCATAATCCTCGCTTCGAAATATCCGATAATAATTCGGCGAGTATACGATGGTAAAATTTAGTTAGGGCAGATAAATTCGCCGGTATAAAATATATAAGTAAAACGGTGGAAATTAGCATGCCCTTGTGCGACGCCGTTTCTGCGAAAAGCGCAGCAATCCAATCTGTACGGAGAGCCCCGAAAAAAAAAATC